GGCTGAAGAAGACGACTGCATGATTCTCCACTCTAATATGTTGTCAAATATCCACCTTGAAATAAAACAATCTATTGAAATATTTCCTTAGCGTTGAATTACTAATAATTTCTCGCTCTTGTGACAACTTTAAACATGTATATCAATTGCCCACAGACTTATTCCATGTCTTCCAAGTGTTACTGGATCTTCCGATAATAAGTGCATGTCTTTATAATCTTAACGCAGTCGACAAAAAACATGGCTGCGTTAAGATCTAAAGTTATTACAATAACTGGAATGTCAATTGCTGTAAGAATTTTAAATTACGACTACTGTGCAGCGAAGAAAACATATAAAAGAACTTTGCATTCTTTTGCATCAAAGCCAACTGATGTGGAGTCGTTCGCACATGAAAGCGAATGAATGTATTTTACCAACTTATTTCAACCGGATCAATCAAGATCTGTTCTGGAATCCAATAATACATGCTTGAAGACCTGGAGAGAAAGAAAAGCAATATAATCGTTATGACCTCGAGTATTTTGAACTATGACTTCTATCTGCACGGCTTTATGGGAGGTAGTCTGACATCTCAATGTTATCGGGATGGAGTCCTTAAACCCACTGTGAGATTGTGCGTTGTGACAGGGTTTACTTAATTTACACTTACTGGAGATAATGCACGTCCACATAAAGCAAGTTGGGTGGGTAGTTACTTAGAGAGCGATAACATGCGTATCATGGAGTGCCATATATCAGAGCCACCATATTTTCCAGACTCAGCTCCGCTGAGCATATTTAAAATGTTCTTGGATGTGATGTTTCTGAGTGTACATCACTTCCAGTTAGCCTCAAAAGGTTTGAAACTGTCTTCTTAGAAGAACTGAAAACTGAATGGAAATTGACGGTAGAGCTTGCATGAAGATCAGAGCTGTTTACATATATCTGTCTATCTATCCATAAATAGATAGAGTATGTATATCAGTGTATCACAGTTCAGGCAAGTAATATCAATGTCAAGATATGTAAAGTCTAAGTGTCAATTGTTACGTATATCACACCTAGATTTTTGGGGTGGATTTCTCAATCTGCCACTAATTTTAAATTCCTCCTTCATCTTTGAAAATTGTTTGTCCTTTCACTACCCTTGTTGCTTTGAATTAAAGGTAGATTAAGTTTCCAAAACCTCGAGAAGCCTCCTACTGTAACCACGCGATCAAAGGTATATGAACAAGCATATTTTGCTAAATAATACAAGTATACAAAAGAAGATCTTTATAATAAAGGGTCGAGCAAATAACGCATGAGAATTTTTAATTTTCCTAAATTCTCATGAGCTCACGGAACTAGAACCTACAGCAGTGCCATGATATCGCTGTTATGGATTTTCCTTTTAGGAGGTGTCTGATTCGAGTTCCATTTTAAGCCTAGGTATACTTGAGACAAATGTTCGTTAATAACAAATTTTAAGTTTAACTTTATCAATTTTTTTGCTTGTTATGATACTCGCTCAAACCATAAAGTTATGCAAACTGAATGGTAAGTGACAGAGTTTTAAAAATAGGTTATTAATCTTAATCGCGAGCCTAGTATCTAATCTTATCCTAGAGCCGGAATCTCGTCGCTGTTGCCTTGCTTGAGAAGTCGCCTGCTATAATTTCTAAAGTGATGCCTGAAATATTGGTTGGCGGTTTGGTGAATTGTTTAACTTCACCATCCAACAGAGCTATTGTTGGAAGCGTTCCAGGAAAGTTCACTTTCATTTTAGGGGAGAAATTTATGTTTCTATGATTTCTCCTTCCACGTGAAACTGAATTTTTTTTTATTGCATAATGATGTTATACACCAAGGTGCCTGGGAGGCCCTATCGCAAGTCGAAACGTTTAAAATTTCGCAGTAGCTGATAAATATTAAATTAATAAAGTCATTTTCTTGAGAAGAGAATACTGAACCCTAAGCCGCATGCATAATTCAGATACGCAGATATAAAAGCTGTCGGAGACAGAACAGTAAATTTTAACGAAGTAAGTAATCTATAATAGTATTATATTCCAATAACTGAAGCACGACAATGCATATTGCATAAATATTTGATCATATAATATGGATGAGCCGTTCCGCCTGGACGGCTCGTCCATATTATATGATCAAAGGTGAAAAAGTGTTTTTCTGGGAAAAGGTGGAAAGTGGAATGGTGGAATTTCAGCAAGTTATAGAGCATATGATCAAAGGTGGAAAAGTGGATAGTGTCTGGCTGCTGTACTGAAGGGCCCGAGTTCGAACTCCGGAGAAGGCATGGATGTAAATTGTCTGTCCTTTCATAAGACGCAACGATGGACTACCTATTAGGAGCCACCGTAATATACTGACTATCTCTCCCGGCCTTCGAAGTGGCCAACGCTTATAACGGCTAGTGCCCACTATAGGAAATAGCAAAAAATATAGAGGCGGGTCCTTTGCTGTTATCTAGATTGTTATAGTAATAATTACAAATTCTGAATGCAGGATTATTGGTCTCCTCCTGGCGTTTATGAAAAGTTTTCGCCAAATGCTAACAATGGGTCCTTTTTTGGGCAATTTTCAGTTCTTTATGGATTCTGTTGTTACGAATATAATAGAGTAGTCTAGTTTGGCGAAGAATACAATTATGGGCAGTTTGGAGTTACCTTCTGTTTGTTGAAAATCTTTCTTATTGTTCACTGAAAACAAACTTGTTCCGTCTCTAGCTGTTCGTAAACTTTTACTTTAGGCTATTATTATAAATATCGATTTTTTAGTATGAAGCCTACCAGCTCGTTTTGTAAGTTCTGCTCGTTTCAGTTTACAATAACATATTAAGGTTTATGTGACTAATAAATTCTAGTTGCTAATAAAGTCCTATTTAAAAGCTATTTTTGAGTTGTATATTGTGTTGATAGCCAAGCATTACTAGAACTGGTAACTCTCAAACTGAATGTATAATTTCTTTGGATATTCATTACGTGATAAATTTATTTTGCACTCTAGAAGTTATACATTTCTTATATTTATAAATTATTTTAATTAAAATGAACGGTATTTATCGACTTTACATTCTTGGACGATTTCAGCAATATAAGAGTCATAAATAGCTAAAAATTAGATAGTTTCCCAAATTAAGTGTAGAAGGATATTTTAATTAAAAGACACAATAATTTTGAAATACGCAATGTTTTTTAACTTTTTTATAAATTGAAAATCGTTTATCTTCACAAATAACTAAATCAATCTATAAATTTCTTGGACACTGATCAATTAAATTACACAGGCTGACTTCAATTTCAACATTTTTGCTAACTTATAACAAAGCAAGTTATGTTTAAACTGCTATCCAGTGATTTTTATTGTTCAAACGATCATAAAGATTTTTGAATCATAATCCAAATATAAGAAAATTAAGAAACGAGAGATTTTTATTATTAACAACTCTAAACTTTCTTGACTTAATCTCTCAAATTCAGAAATCGTAAAACAGGATTTTTAAAAGCAGGAATATCCGAATTCTTGATAGACTGTTTGTTGTCATGCATTTTTTCTTTTTCATCTTCTTCTCAAAAGAATAGTGTTATTTTAAAAAAAATGATGAAATGAGAATCGCTGAATGAATGTATGTATGTTTCTCGCACTGCGAAACAACGGCGATACCTAGGACCATCACATTTCGAATAACATAGCCTTCAATCCGAATATGTGCATTTGGAAGACCAAATTTTGAATTTTATATTTCATATTTTTTAAAACTTTAACTAACTTTTAAGAAATAAAACGATTCGAAAGCGAACAGTGACAACACTGTACAGATTAAATCATTGTTATCTCCAGCGAGCGAGACTATATACCGAAAATTCTAAAGATATGCTGTTTTTAAGTATTTTTTGATTTTGCTGTTCAAGTGAATTTTATGTGGCGTAAGTGCGAAGCACATTATTTAAATAACAATAAATTTAACACACAAAACGTTAATAATAAAAGACAAAAGAAAAGTTTTGCAAGTCATTTTTATAAGAAAATTATACATTGATATGATAAACTGAGAAAAGACTGTAAAAAATAGAAAAATATATGCTAACAGCTTCATCGTCAATTCTAAGCATATGCTGCTTAAATAGCTTTGTGATTTTACTGTTGAATTGTATATTGCCTGAGAAGAAAATTAATTTTAATAATAAAGTTAAAAAGAGAGAAAGAAATAGGTGAGCAGAAATGAATGCAACAGCATACTGGTAGACTGCGAGTTCAGCGAGAGCGTAAAAAACCTTAACAAACCCTTTTGGACAACCATTAAAATCTGAGCAATTTCAGATTTTTCTTTTTGCTATTTGTGATTTTAAAGTTATTGTTAAACATTACCTTCTTCAACTCAACAGCAAAATCGCATTTTTTTAAAAAAAACAGCACATCTTTAGCATTCTGAATATAGTGCTATTCTTGCTATAAACCTTTTAGCTCAGAAGAGCTATTAGTCTCGAACCTCCTTTTTGCGTCAAATAACTTTTGCTTCAAGTTTCACTTTTCAAGTAACCAGCCGCTGGCGTGGCCAGCCGTCTAAAATTATTAAACATAGTATCAATTATAAAGAACAAAAATTTATAACAACTCTAATAAATCCAGCTAGTATAATTTTGCAGTTCTAGGCTAGTAATTATTAATAGAGATAATGAACGGTGTTTATTGTTTTTAAATTGCTTAGTTTGTTGATCAATAACAGAGAGAATAAATTAAAAAAATAATAAGCATCTTACTTCGTATCAAATAGCAACAAACTGCTGGGGGAATGATAAAAATATTTTACATCAAGCAGTGACAGTACGTTTCTTTTAAATAGCTGACTTCTTTCTTTAAATTTGAAAAAACAAATATTTTACGTATTTCCTAGTGGCAACACATTTGAAAAGTGATTTGAATACGAATATGAGGTTCGAGGCTAACAACGCCTTTAGCTCTAAAACATTTTTGATATCTCTTATAACCATTTATTCAATATAAAAATATAAACATACCTCCTTATCGCTGATTACAATAGATAAAAACTTGAGTCTATATAAAGGATCCACCTGTCTTGTAATAGATGCGACTCCATCAGATATAATACTTTCATTATGGAATCTCTCATAACAGCGAAAAGGACCTATTTGTTCTTTGCGACCACTGGTGATACTAGTGGAAAACTCCAAAGGTTGTAACTGAATATTGCCGACCTTAGGTGAAATTGTAAGGGGACGCTGCATGCCGTCATAGGTATATGTAAAAATTGCATTTGTTAAAGCAAAAGGGCTATTAAACTTCATTTTCCACTTGGTTAAAGATGAACCTGAAAAAACAGTAAGTATTTATAACTGAAAGTAGAAATGAGTAAGTACAAGAAACTTACGAATGAAAAAAATTCCTGATGAAATAATTAATTATTACTACTTAAATATTATTAATTATTTTACTGAATTAACTAAACACAAATGATTTTATCAGTTGCCAAGTATCAAGATAGTTTAAAGGTTAGATACTTAGCTTGTAGAAAAATATTCTTTGTCTTAAGTTATTTTACTTCATCAAATTGATTTTTTAAATTTTATCTTTATTATTTACGTAAAGTTCTTTCGCATTTCTTGCAAAGAAATAATTCATAATTTGCAAACCGACATAAATCATCCCTGATATCAAAATGCCGAAGCATTTTAATTCCTTTTGGTTTCTTTCTTGATATCATTTTGAGGGAAAATACTGTGAAATTGCTCTTAAGGTTAGTAAATGACAAAAAATATTTCTCTGTTGTATATTCGATAATATTCACCGGAGATATTCTGTACGTATATAAAAATCCTAAGCATGGTGAATTTTGCTTAAAAGTAAAAAACAAAAAGCTTAATAAATATAATATGAGAAGATTGGTATTAGTTTGGAGAAAGTCTAATATATCTCATAAGTTTTTTTATGCAAAGTTACTTTATTTCTAAACATTTTTATATCTTAAATACAAGCAGTTAGGGCCTTTTCTGTGGGCATGCAAGTATACAACGCATTAATTAGCAGCTGAGACACACATAATCCATTTTTGTAACATACTCGTTAGTCTAATCAAAATTTTCGTCATATTTCTTTACTTTTGCGTTTGGGTAGCCGATGAATTACATTATATGTATGATTTGAGTAGGTACTATACTATTTCTTAATGTATGTTTTAAAACTCAAATTTAGAGCTCCTCAAGGTCATAATGAAAACATCATAATGTATGGAACACGCGAATATTCCCTTAATGTGATCCGTTATGTTTCAAATGTTTTATTTTCAGAAATGCTCAGTTAGTCTTTTCAAAACATGCGAATCAGGGAGAGCAGTACATTTTTCTTTTATCTTCCTGTATAAAGATATATGGTGTTACTTAATTCATGGTTTAAAATTTTATAATATGTAAATGATTTCTTTTCTAAATTAGATATTTTCTGGTGCTGAACTTGCAAATCCAAAGTCTGAATACTATTTCTATAGTCACAGATGTTAAATCAGAAGAAACAGCTAAATGCAAACTTCGTATTTGGAAAGCGTGCAAAATTTTGAAATCCCCCACCTAAAAAAAAATTAATTGTTCATATGGCAACACTTTAGCTAAACAAGTAGACACTGGTAGAAAGAGTGAGGAAAAAATACTTGATTTGAAGGAATAAAGTTAATAACATAAAATATTTGTCATTTATCAGAGACATTACTCAGATGATTTTCCTTTGGGAATGTTTGAAATACTGAAAGAAAAGTGCAAAAAATATCAAAGCAAAATATTCCGAAATCCTATCTGGCAGTTTAAAATCTGACAAAACAAATGTTGAACAAATTATCGAGTAATAATAAAAAACATGGATTGAAGGATACTGGTTCTTTCGATTCGTTAACACTAGAAATATTTTAACATTTATGTTAAATTCTTAATGCATAATATCACGTTTATTGTCGCATTATACATAGAAATGGCATTTGGCAATTGGGAAAAATTGTTCCCAAATGCCAAAAATTTATGTAGACGCACTGCGCCTATCAGAATAAAATAAACATTCCTTATTTAAAATAATCCAAGAAAGAACACATGTATCGATCGATCGTATGTACAGAGAGAGAAAACTGATATTCCACAAATTTCATAAAACAAATCTTCCCTATTGAAGACTGGTTATTAGAAAATGGAAAACGCATATTCATACCCGTGTGTCCAAACTAATGACTATAAGTAATTACAGAATGAAGCATATCTTACGTAACAATATTATCATGTTCGATAAACAAGCACCTGAAGTTTAGAAGACAAAACATAGGCATTTTCTTTCAATAAAATCTTTAATTTATTTTCACTTATTTACCAAATGACTGGCAAAAATATACTGCATGACTGGCAGACTCAAATTTCTTCTTGTAAACACTTGAATTTTAGCTTATCAAGAAAAAGAAGCATATTTACTACAATTTTCATGCCCCTATTTACTTATGCATATTTTCTACATAGTCTGTAAAGAATTATTATAATTATTTCCAATAGGTTTAGAAACAAAGATATACATGGAAAGCTGAGACTGACAACAATGAAGGCTATTTGAACAATACTGATACCGAATTCTTCAGTAAGGGGCTAACTATGGTTTTATTAACCAATCTCACAGACTTAAATACCAAATTTCGGTAGGTGACGATATCTTAATGTTATATGTTGCCCATCTTCCATGGGATCATGTAGCGTTTACTTTTTGCATTTATATCCCATTTCTTCGTGTTCATATTTTAGGTAATTTTGGATGCTGCAGGCATTTAGTTTCATTTTCTCACAGCTCTTTCCCATTCATATTGAATATTATCTCTAAAAATCTCGTTAAAACATCGTTTAACTGAAGTAATAGTTTACATCTATTACTTCAGGTTTTTTATGGAACTCATTCAGCTTTATTGAAAGTCTTTTCAGCATAATTCCAGTGTATCATATTTGCATCAAGATGTCAGATATTCCACAACTCAAGGCAAACAAAGAGAAAGAACTTCGTCTCGTTTTAAGACAAAAGCAAAGAACAAAGATGAATAAAGCGATGTGACCTGAAGTCTAGAAAAACATTATTACAGTCTACCATATCAATAGTGACAGTTTCTCTGAAAAGCTAAATTTGCGTGTTTCTCGCAACGTCTGCGTTTAAGGAATAGCAAGAATTTCTGGCACACTTAGCAAGTTTGAGGATTAGAAATCCAAAACCACATGAGCTGTAACAGTGCCATCTTCATTTAATGGCAATAGACGTGCACCAGTTCAGAAATAAATTTTTCTAATGTATACTGAAATGCCGAGTTAAGCCTCAGAGGTTTCAACAGACTGAAACATTTTATCACGCATAAGTTTTCGAAATACACAAGTGGCGAAGGAATTAATGCGCCTGAAGGGCTATCTTCAACTCAAATTTAAAGGCATAATATAACTGCTATAATTGACTAGAGTAAGAATTTTGTCTTTTCAGAAGGATTAAGAATTTCACTTCATAAAGCAGGCAGCCGATGGTGGATGCGGGGTAAGAAAAACGAGAGCTAATACGAAGACTCCCACGTCTCCTACACTTTGAAGAAGATGGCAATATTATTCAGTGGAAAAAGCTTTTCCAAAGATTGGTAGTTCCAATTAAAACAATGCGTAATCTAAAGATTAGATTATATCTACCGGCCATTAATCACCCCGTGCATTCTTCCATAATGATACTTATTCCTTGAGATAAAGCACCCTAAGAAAATTGTTTCGTGACTTTTCTCAAATGGCACCAGGAAAAAGAGGGTGACTATTTTTTCTTTTAACCTGTAAATTCATCCGATACAAATTCATGTGTCATCTGTGGGATAATTCGAATTGCCAGGTTTAATGCGTTGATCCTGATTCTCATATTGTGAAGAAATGCAAAGCTCCTACTGGATCTTAAATTTTCAGGAAAACGTCCTTTCTACTCTGTTAAAAGTAATGAGAACTAAGAATTATTATTTGCTGTAGAATGGCCATTAAGGAAATTTATTTTTTTTCTCAGGAAAGACAATAGTGCACCATATCTAATTAATTTCATTCTGCATTTTGGAAATTTAGCCCGCGGCGTACCGTCTAATTAGTGATTTTTGTCACAAGATCGGTTATTTTCAACATTATTAATATTTTCATATTATTCTGATAGTTCTTCGTTTTACATTAGTAGCTTAAAATAAAACAAAATAAGAAGAATGATAGAAAGAAAATAGATATAAACAATATACCTTTATGGAATCTACAATTTAAATGTTTCAAACTATGATATAATGCAGTAAATTAAAACGTTTATATTCTATTCCCTTTAGCAATAATCTATAATTTCTAGAAAATTACAGTAAATGAATTTTGCAAAAATTACTTCAACAAGGTGCTATAATAGGTACATTTTAAAAAGTACTAATACATTAATTCTTCCGAGAACGCGATGATAATAACCATCATCATATGATTAATGATGTTTCCTTCTTATTTTTATGTAATGCCAATGCATATGTAGGTTAATACCTTAATACAAAGAGGAAAATTGCCTCCTAAATAAAGATCTTCGAGAAATCTAGTTTTTATTTAAAAATGTCAAATTTTCATTTGGATGATGGAAGTTAGCTTCCAGCATTGTTGTTATTATAAAACAAAAAGAATCCACAAACAAAATTAACTTCGGAGTTGATGGCTTTTATACCTCCAGGCTATTAAAGACACATTTCTTCAACATTAAAGAGGCTGAAATTTAACTTATCGCTAGACGTATTAAAGGAGTGAGAAAATTTGAAGCGAGAAATGTCATTTTATGAGCTACGGTAATGAAATTACTAGGTCTGCGGTGTTTTTAGTTCTTTTAGTTTGCGTACTACTTTTGCTTTTTAGTTTTATTTCCCTGGCTATAAGTAAATGATTGACAGCATTCTAAAATATGGAACCTCCTACCAAAGAATAATTTTTGATAGAACTCCAACAATTGCTTAGCACAGACAAATTTAAAGATTACGTGCTTTCTCACCAGTCTGCAGTGAAAAATTTACTGACGTCATGATTTGGTCAAATTGCTCAATGCATTTTAAAAAACCTAATTTACAAAATCTCCTCACATGTCACACTAAAATCTTCAACACTTGAGTACCTCATAAATATGACAAAGACTATATGAATGCATTTCATTTGTTGTATAAATGATCTTCATTACCTTAGAAATTGCAGCTCACACTGCGTGAGAAAATTACCGTAATTTTTCGGTTAATTCATCATGTTTAAGCGGCGGCATTAGACCACAGTTTTATTACCTTTTGATAAATAAACATCAAACAAAATTTATTGTCTTACCAGTTTCTAATAGGATTTTTTTTCAGAGAGATATTAACACAGTTACAGCTTTTGAATGGTTGAAAACGATGTGAGTTAGCTCACAGCTTTGGACATTTTGTTAGGAACTGTTAGCTAAACGACTGCGGGGCAGTAAAGTCCAGGATTCAAATCCCAGCCAGAAGCATTGCCAATGTAAACCTAAAATTGATGTTTTTTTAAACGAATATGATTAGCTGGAAAGTAGATTGGTGAAGGTATTAACCGCAGATAAATATTCTCATATATCATAATTTTCCATAGTTAGTTACCTCATAATTTAGATAATATTAGGTTTTATGTAGTATACAGTAGGAAAAATCACCTGCGTATTCACCAGCAATGAAATCCCATATCATCCAACTGAATCCCAGACTTCCAGTCTGGTGCTGCACATGCTAAGTGGCTACATCATAAAAGCACAGATGGCGGAATGCGATAATTCCTTACATTCTTCCACAATATAAAAGACGAATGGAAAGAGGAAAGGGAGCAAATCCATGCGGTTAAAAGCTATCATCTACAAATTTTATTTCGGCCGCACATTTCGATACTAATATGTTTTTCCCGGAGTGTGGAATGTGAGAAACATCATCGTACGCTCACCAGACTTCAAATCACGGATTTTATAATTTACTAAAGAGAGCTGCTGATCATTTACACCACAAGAGCACGTACGGGGAATGCGATATTTTCTTATAATATCATTTAATGGGTGTTAGTTTCATAGTTCTATATGGGCAACATATATCTAAATATCTTTACGTTTTTAATGATATGGTATACTTTCGAGATGTATCCAATCCTCAGGCAGATTTCTTTCAAGGAAAGCACAGAAATTCTGTAAAATTTAAATTTCCATTTTATACGTGTAAAGAGAAAATATAAATATTAGAGTCTGATAATCATATTTTGCTTTGGGAGAAACATTTCAAGTGAATTAAATATAAAAATGCATTTAAATTCCTAGTCTCTCACAATACTTCAGGTTTTATAATTTTCCCGATTTTTAGTACTATGGCTATTTCAAGGATTATTCAGTTGATTTCACAGAGCATTCAGATATTAACATAATGATGTTTTAAATTGTACTCACCTCTCGAAATAGCCTCCGACCGGGCTGTTAGCCATACGGAGTGTGAACACTATCATATCTATTATTCAATATCATATCTAGCATATGCAGATCATATTTAGTATGCAATATCTAGTATCGTAGCTAGTTAACAAAGCAGGAGCAGTGATTTTTTGTCACAAAAACACAGAAGTAACGCTCAAATAATTATGAAATATTTCGTTTTTCTCTTTTTATATGATAAAATATTTAAAAGCATGGAAATTTTAAAACTGATGTCTCTTAAATTAATGGTCTTTGAAAAAATAAATGAGCAAATCATGAAGTCTTTTATAATAAACCCCCGAAATTTACCAGAGATTTAAAGGATTTGAATGAAAACGAAATAATATGAAATACTGTATTTCTCACTAAATGAAAAATAATAAACAAATTCAGAGCTCTTTTATTAGAACATAAAGAGCGCATTAAACCCACTTCAGCAGGCTACACGTAATGTAACCAAATGAAAAATACATAGAGTCTTAAAACACATGAGCAATAAAAAGAATATTTACATACTACAAAAATCTGCTTAAACTACATACATTTAAAAATGAACACTTCAAAAATAATATCAAAGAACTTGAGCAATTAAATTCTGTCTTAAATATTTACAAAATAAAATATGCATAGTATAGAAGAAGTAAATTGTGCATACGTTATAATGCAATGCATTAATAGCATACATGCATTTATTTACCGAGTAAACATTACCACGCATATGCTAAGTTTTTATGAAATTATTTTTTTCAAAAATATTTCTGAAAGTTAAAATGTTTATTTGTTTCCATAAATGTTTCTTTAAAATTATATTTCTGGTGACGTTTTTATATTACCTAGTTTTAAAATCCATTTAATTCGCGATTAATATTTAATTTAAGTTCATTGTTTTATAATAATGCATAGTGTTTGAAATCGACGGACATTTAAAGAATTACTGTACTTTGTCTGATTTAACTACGTTACTTGCATGTATTTAATGTAGCAACCTTTCAGTTATTGTAGTTAATATATATTCATGATAGAATATAATATTTAATATTGCTTATAGAGCATAAGGAATATAAAAATATCAGCAGAGCAGTTATTGGTTTAGATTTCGTTCTGGTACAAAATCTCTAAATTTTACTTACCTGAATATGAAAACTCGCTGATGATTTCAACATCTTGTGTCTTCCATGCTTCGTAATTGACGAATCCTGACTGGCTGTAATTCCTTTCAATTTTCCCACCCCCATACACGATAGATGTCAGCATCATGCGATCATCATATCGGTACAGTGCTCGTCCTAGATCTCTGGGGTATGTCTTAAGTAGCGGCAATCTCTGGTCGTTGAAATGAACCACGTAGGAACCCGCATTGCCTGGTGGTGTATAGAGGAGCTTGTAAAATCCTATAGACACGTAAGCAGTGAATGTATGGCGCGATCCTTTAGGAGTTGTCACGTACTTAAGTCCACCATTGTCATCAAAGTGGTATGTGAATTTTCTGCCACTAGGTAATGTAATCTTTGCAGGCTGTAAGAAAACAAAGGATTAATTATAGAGATTGACATGTAGAGTTTTACCTATTTATTTAGATATTTCAATTTTCATTTATTTAGATATTAGCTTTTAAAAAATATAAAACAAACTCGAAATTCAAAATTCGGTCTTCCAGGTGCACATGTTTGGATGGATGATTACGTTATTGAAAATGTGATTGCTCTAGGGTCCGTCATTGTTTCACAGTGCGAGGAATATTGCAGATTATACATGCAGATTTTTCATTATTTAATTTTTTTAAAAGTAACGGAGGGCAATAATATTTGGTGGCAACAATTTGATAAATGATACGTCATTTATAGTGAACCGAAGCAAAATCCCATTTCGAGATTAATATCCGCTTTTGAGTTGATAAATTTTGTTGGTGAAACAGCGTTGATCGAGATTCTAGACACAGATTGTTAGAAATTTCTTAATTTTAAACGTGCTGTCTGCTTGCGAAACAAGACAATACAAAATGCTATAACTCGAAATATGCCTGTGTATTCCATGTTGAAAAAAAAGTAAACATTAAAATTTTTTTTAATCAGTAAAGTTTTCATAAAATCGCATTTATAACGCAAAATAATAAGATAAGTAAATATCCACCGCTTTCTCATATATTAAATATAATGAAAAATACGAAAAACAGATATTAAAATTTTACTTAAAAGATGTATGAAATATAATTTTAAGCTGAAAATGAATTTCTTGTGCAGAAACGCTACGAGAAATAAATTACCCATCTCTTGTTCTTTGTTTCCCTTTTCCATAAATACTCATGTATATAGACAATTTTTAGCAATATTTGTTAGTTATAGCTTGCTTGTTGTGTAAAATTATTATTTCCTAACTGAAGTGCATTTTTAAAAGAACAACAGCTACCAAAAAAGAAAGTTGGATACATACAGTTGCTTGGAATATCATTTTAATTACGGAAATTCTGTGAATAGCTTTGTTATTTTGTATAAGTTAAAAATGGGAATAAATAAAGAATAAATTATCTTCATATATGAAAACGTATAAATCATAGGAAAAGAGAAAACTAAATACATACATACAATACTCGTATGGAACATAAAAATTTTTACTATAAATTATAAATTAAAAAATAAACTATAAATTATGCTTTAAATTAACAAAGCCCCTTAATTCCTTATTTATTGGAAAATTTCTTTCTCTATTATAAATATAGTAATAACTTTTTCGAAACTGCATCATATATGAAAACTAATTCCGCATTATGTCATCTTAACTTTCTGCACTGCATGTAGCTCTCAGTCAATCAGATTAAAAAGAAGTTTTACTATAAATATCACTGCAACCAGCTACACGTGTTGTTTTGCCCTTTTTTCCGCTTGGCCTTTACTCTAGCTTATAAGCGCCATCGTTCCGCTGTATTGTCCATTGCCTGAAGATGGCATAAGCTTTCAAAATTGTGGGGTACACATTGCACCCATAATCATGTGGGAAGAAAATATTGTTTCCAGAACTGCTTTATCTAATAATAAAATTATGTTGAATTCCCCCATCGTCTGTCTGCACGTTCATCATTCCATCTAAGTAACAGTTTTAAGCTATCTGCTATCTCCGTCCCCACCACACTGAGGCGCAGCAATTTCATTTTCTGCCAAAATTACAGCACCACACATACATATTCATTTAGACTCTCAAAAGGTATTAATAGCAATTTATGTAATATTTCTTGTTAATTTAGTTAAATTAAGGCAAAGAATACACGGAATCATTCGTTTATACACTTTGATGTTACTGTGAAACGGCCCAGAATTAATGCTTTGGCCTGTGTTACTTTAGATTTGTTCTTGTTAAAATATAAATTTAGATATTTCCTTTCTGTAGAAACAAGTTAATGTAAATCTTCTCTTTCATATGAATCTTCTATATGCACCCGTTATAGAAGACTCCCATCGTTCCAGGCAGGTTTGAGTTGGCCGAATTTAACAAAATTCCCATGTTTTGGTAACTCTCAGAAACGATGTATAGCGGCACAGAAAACTTTGACATCTGGCGGCTGAAATTGACACTCTGATAGCCCTAATAGCTTTCTCCGATAAAACAACGGTAACGGTACTCAATGCTTCAGAACAGCACAGCAAATTTATTCGTAATTTGAAGTTCTTCTAATCGAATCTCATACATTTTGGCTGTAAACTAGTTTCTAGATTTCATTGATCGTGGTGGGTTTGCGCTTAGAAAGAGCTCTTCTCAAGATACTAAAGACAAAATGAGTCCACAAGTGAAACGACAAGGAACGTTGCAGGAATACGCTGAAAAAGTATATATGCAATACCTATGTCAGTCTTACTTTTTTCCAGGCATGAAATGGTACTTTTCAAAGTAAGACTTCAAGCCTTTTTGAAGTATGACTATGAAGGCTTGTTGCTTTATCTCGATAAATTTACACTCTTTGAAACTCACTGGGATACAGAAATGGATTTTTTTCTGTAAATATCAGACGTAAAACGTTTTTTGATAGTACATTAATGCTTTTGATAATACATTTTAGTTTTTCTTTTCCACTTTTAATTGTTTTTTGTAAGAGAATTCCGGCTACAATCATAAATCCCTTACTGATACTTCTTATTCTTTCTCTCTCTTTTTATTTTCTTGACGGAAGCAGGATTGTACATTTTGTCTTCGTCTTTTCCGATAATAAAATATACCTTCTTTTGCTGCAGTCATTTACGTAAATCTATGCTTTATCGATGATCACAATGCATTTCCATTTGTCTCCTGCTAAATAGTTTTCATGCGTTAAGCCACATGTGTTAACAAAAGCTAATGAGCATTATGTTTTTAGCTTTTTAAGCTGTAAACGTTGGTTTATTATTTTATTTATTGTTGCTACGGATGTTTATAAAGACTTTGATTTCTGCGTCAACGGTTTTTCTCTTGTTACCAAAGATTTAATTTTAGAAACATTAGTAGCAGCACGTACCGTTTCCGGATATCAGTTTAAAGTCTTTCCATGAAGTAAGTTGACGGTTTTTCTCTTCGCAATTAAAATGTTGCTTATTTTTTACCTAGAAACTTTAATACCACTGATTTCCCAGGACCCAGAACAGGAATGTTTTATTTGGAATGAGGAAAAACATATCCTTAAATTCATAGCTTGTTTTACAAGTGTCATTTTAAAAGAAGAATGACTTTAAAAGTAGCTTCAGAGCATTTGCTTTTTATTAGTTTGTAGTGTTCCTCCCTTTTTATCTATTAACTAAATGTGGAGGAACCTAGTGAACTGCTAAGAGAATACTCGCTTCAGTCCAGAAACAGAAACGTAAAACACAAGAAGAGTTAATAACTTTTTACTGCTCAAAATAAAGATTCAGAGTCGACCCCTTTCTAAGGGCATACAGCAAAGCTTCCACTTGGGCTTAAACTTAAAAGCGTAAGAAATAGGAACTTAACTAATGACTAACTAAAGAGATTTAGCAGACGCTAACACAAATCTAACTAGTTGGCCCTTAAATATCGACTTAGCTAACGAAGTTATCAAAGGCCCGTAATACGGCCGAGCGTAGTAGCAGCTTAGAGAGACGTGGTCAAAGGGCAAACGCGCGTTAATCAGAAATTCTGATGCTTTCTCTCGAAGTCAGTGAAACTTCGACTTAAATACTATTCCTTCTCATTTGCATTTAACGCAATTCTAAAAACACATTCTGATAAGGAATTTGTAAGATGAAATTAGGAAAGATAGGAAAGGAGCTTTAACTTAAAGATAACTGTTGTAAACTTAGGATAAACCTTGCAAGTTCTTTATCAAAATCATTTTAAAAATGTATAAACACTCTCTGCAGTATCCGAAAAAAGCGAGAAATCAGCCTATTCGGTTAAATCAACCATTCATCCATTCCATTAAGACAGAAACAAACCCACTTCCGATTAATCAGAACAAAACGTTTTAACTCGAAATTCAAGTGAAGCAAATTGGGAGAAAAGGAGTGCGTTTTTGGAGAAATTTCCTGGGTTATCCGCGGATTTTGTTTTGGTACCACTCTTAATTTATACAGCACGAGAAGATTTACCTCTGATATAAATCAAGAGCAATTTCGTTCTCACGACTAATCCAGAGCTTGTGAACATTTTCCCGTATATCACTCACTTGGCAACTTGCAGAATATCAAAGCTATGGAGTGAATATGTAAAGCACAACTTTCTTGCAGGCATTCAAAATTTGGAAACTCAGAAATTTTCTTTCTGTGAACAAACAACTGAGCGTTTTAAATTACTTTTTGGACATCCATGAATACTGCTTTAAGCATTTTGAAACTGATGTTACTATTAATGTACGAAGCTGTGATAATAAATATCAAGATGCTAAGTGAAACATTATCAACCTATACGTGGACAATAACATTACCCCTACACTATTAACAAAGTTTATTATGATTGGTTCAAACTCTATACTTAAACGTACGAAGAAAAACTACACATTATTTTACACACATACGGATCTGTTGCGTGTGTAAATGGAGGTTTTCTAATTATTATTTATTAGTTCTGAAAAACAAAATTGAAAACTCATGTTATTCGGAGAAAATATCGATTGCTCTAAGCAGTTGATTTTTGTTATAAGTTATCCAACGAAACCCATATTAGTTGAATTTTCACTAAGAAAATAAGTTATCGCTGTCTTCAAAGTTCTACGAGAAACGAAGTTTAGATGTCTTCGAATGTTCCACAAGATAAATAATTGGGACAGATCATCATTATTACACAAGAAGACAAAACTGTCTTTTTTGAAAATCCACAAATGTTTCGAAGACAGCTAAGTTATTTTCGAACCATTTGTATTATCATTAAAGAATTGTGAGTTCCACAGCGTTTGCAACTGCCAGTAATGAAAATCAAGAACGGAACTGATTGATAACAAAAATGCGAAACTTACTGTAGTTTTTGATTCATAGGAAAATTTCATTGCTGAGTTGTCTGGATTCTTGACCTCAGTTAAATGGCCCATTCGATCATAAGAGTAGGATTCGGAGAGTGGACCTTGTTGCCAGCCAGACAGACGCCCAAGCCTCTCATACATCAGATTAAGGGGAAGTCGAGTGTCAGTTGGGAGCCACTGGACAGGCCTGGAGAAATTGTCGTACTGGACTACTAAGAAAGGTCTTCTGGAGCTGTTGTACAATATTTCACGGTCTGCAACCCAGTCGTATTCTACTGTCAAAAGTTGAGTATCATTTACCTGAAAAAAAAAAAAAACAGAATATGATATCACAGCCCTACTTGGATAATATTTTTTCTTTATGAGTTTTACATTTAATAATAGCAAGGAATAAAGTGCAAGATAACTGGTACTTCATTTTGAGTTCATTATTGAGGAACTATGCAAGTCAAAATACATTAGCATAAATAGTGTGAGATAACACACATAAATATAATTTTTCCCATAGTGACTGCGAGCAAGACATAAGCATAGGCTTTGAATTCTGATTTAAAATGTGAAACTTAATAACTTCGCATTAATAATTTATTGCAGTCTATTACATTTGGAAGCCTTCGTATGATAATGAACACTGCAATTTGTGTCAACTTCCGAAAAATATTTTTGAGCTAATGTTAGTCTTGAATTTACTTCCACATTCCTAAAATGCATGAGATATTACATCGCTGAAAATGCGAATTTGCTAGTTAAGATAACAGATAATTAAATTTAATATAACAGTAATTTAAATGTGGATGAGTAGTTAGAGTATTTAATATCAGATTATTTTAACAGAACCTTGAAGATTGTGCATATTTCGACATATTCATTTAATAAACAAGACAATTATTATGAATATTGTTTTAAGCTTGAGAATAATACCTTTAGGATATGATGGATACTTATAACCCATAGTGAAACTAGTATAGGTTCGTTCGAGTAAGGAAATGCCAAGGTGACAGATTGTTTAAAAATTCGAATTAATGTTTAGTAAAATAAAAGCAGATGAGAACCTTTGTAAATTAATTGATTATTCAAAAAATTAACTTTATATTTTATGTTTATTAAGATACGTGCTTAATAGTAAAATTTAATGTTAATGATAGTTTTCATATACCTCAATTATTATGAATCATTTAATTAAAACTACTTTTAAACTGCAATTAATAAATTTAACGAGTAAATCCCACTATAAATGCAACAAAATGTATATTCACTAAAGCATTTTCGTTAATAGAGGATTTTGAATCTTCAAAATATTAGTTGGTAGAAACCACACAAAGATAATTTTTTTTCTGAAGTTGCATTCCAGACATAAATGATATTACAAGCATTTAATTTCATAAAAAGTATGCATATTATTTTCTCATGTATTCGTTTACAGAATATACATTGCTTTCAAATAGCTAAAATGTCATAGGAATGCATTTTCTGTCCCAAAACATTTTTGTTTACATACAGAAAATGCTGCTCCAAATGTCAAAAAACTAAAATTGAATGGAAGAGAAATAACAGAAATTGTGTTAAAAAGTACACCTATACAGTGCTTGTACTTCATTGCATTTAACAAATCTGCAAGTCTGCTCTTTTGCTTAGCTTTCATCCCTAGTTCTACATTTAAACGGTATTGGTAAAAACTTCCGTGAGAACGACAGTTATAACTAAAATCAAGTGGAAAACCAAACTACAGGCCATGAATTCTAAAATGATTTTATTCAATATAAGTTTTGTTAAATAATGAAGAACCTGCATATATGTTCTTTGCATTGTGGAAAAAGAGGTACTTGCAGCCACCAAATTTTGACCGCACATATTCCTTCACCCGAACGTGTGCATCTCGAAGATGTACAGTTTAGGTGAATTTTGTATTTCGAATTTGTACTTTATTTATTTTATAGTTAATGAATTTTGATTAAAAAACTTAGCGATTTAAAACAAATATGTTGCTACACGGCAAAGCATAAAATATTTGTCTTCCAAATTTAATGAACAGACACAGAGATTTAAAAGAAATGTGTTGTCCCTACTCGAAAAAAAAAATACAAGCACCGTTCAGGGTAAGATGCTGTATTCACTATGCTGCCCGTTAGGATAAAATGTTTCATTTTTCTTTAAAACTCCATCTGTTCATTACTGATTAACAAACTAAGCGATGTAAAAACAATGAACACAACTCTTCAACTTTTTTAAATACGAGCTCTACCCATAATCTACACTAGCTGGATTCATTGAAATCATTACGCATTTTTTTTATATAAGAATTAAAACAGACGGCTAGCCGCCCAAAGGGCTAATAATACAAATAACTGTAATAGCAATAATATTGGGCAAAAGTTATTATATTTATAATTACAGCGAAAGTGTTTACCTAATAATAATTATATAGATAGATAGATAGATACATAAAATTATGCTTTTATCTGCGCAGATTTTTCTTATATAGTTATAGAAAAATTGTCTAATTTCTTTTAAACTAATAGAATAAGTATAAATAATCCAATTTTATAAATAATCTAAATTTGCACACTTTTTTTTATCTTGCGAATTCCGGCAGACTGTTCTTTTTTATTTCTAGATGACAAAGCAAACGCTGAAGCTCGGCGATTTATGATAAAGCCCAAAAGCTTGTGGTAAAGGTTTCACTGTGTTAGTTATTATTCAACTAGCTAATAAGAAAACTACTTACTCTGATATGAGTTACATTGCATGAATTTAGATAAGTTGGAAATTACTGGAGATTAACTTTCTAATTAAAAATCTGTTTGCATATACTTATAAATGTTTTTTCTTATATGCAACTACGATAAAAAAAAGTGAGAAAAAATGGATAAAATCATGAAGGCAGGTTTTTCCGTTGTTATCCAGGCGTAAAACGATGCCCAATATAGTACAATTATATACTGTCGCGCTAAGCTATAAGCTTCTCCGTTAAGCTATGAGGAGCTCGGTCAAAAAGAGCAATTTTCGCTACAATATTATATAGATGTACTACAAATAGAAAATTGATATAAAACATTAGTTACATAAATTACAGACTTGAAATTATGTATTATATAAAAGTACAACAAATAGAATAAATTATATAAAGCATTAATTACATGAATTACAGACATTTTCAGTTGTACAATAAAATAATAGAACACATATCTGAAAAGACAGCAAATATGTAAGTACAAACAAAATTCATAAAAAAATCCAGTTTCTAATAGATATTAAAACATTAAAAAAAAAACTAATTTATGAGATGGAAAAATGTCATTCAAAAGTGCGTAAATCTTTAAAAAAATGGGAAAATAAAAAAGTTAAAAGAATAATAATCAATAGTCCTTTGATTTTCTACAAGAGCAAGAAAAAAGAATCTACTAATAAATGATAAGAAAATAGTAAGAAATACAAGAATGTGGTATGAAATTATTTAACAACTTCAGAAAGCACTGAAAGGCAGTAAAGAGATAAGAGGAAAGTTGAAAATTATAACAAAACAAAATAATAATCAACTGGAATGATTAAATAGGTATAATATAAATTCAGATGAAGCCTCAATAATTGATAAACACACTTCCGTTAAAAATAAATAAAACCAATCATAAAATGTTTATAGATATAAGTAGATTAGTGAGAAAAAACTCTCATCAAACTTCAAACACAAAATCATCAAAGGAAACCAGAAAAAGATCTTAAAAGAATATAAAAAGTAATAGCTGTGTACGAAAGTACCGAAACTCAATTACGATTTGACCAAAAGAAATCGAGAGCGCAGTGATTATGGGTTTCTCTCTCTACACGCAATCTAAAGAATTACTCTCCAAAAGCACCAAGAACAATAAAGGAATTACCCTGGTCTTATCTATATAAAACTTGGATTTTAATGACATAAAATACAAATTGTTCACCTGAGGAAAGCTCTCTCTATTTTCAAACATTTCCCAAATTGAATAAAGTGCTTTCAAACTTCAAAAATTTTCCTGCGGGTGCCATCAGTATAGGAAAATTTTTATAATGCTTTTGGGATAAAATTAAATCATTATTTTAAACGCATTTCAAATATATTCTTTAAAATGCTTTCCTTTCAAATCATTAATTTAATTTGAATATCTTTATATTTAAAAACTTTTAGTACCCATCCTAATATTAAAAAGAACTGCACAGATGATGGAAAGAGTTAAATGCTAAAATAATAAATGGAGCTAAGTACCATAATTAATCCAAAAGGCCGCTTTGTCATTTATCGGTTTCTGTTACGTAATTAATAAACTAGTATAAAAAGTGTTAAATATTTTTATTACCCTGTTATCAGAAACAAGTATCTAACTTCGGATGAAAATCTACCAAAGTTTGTTTACTTTTTCATTTTAAGCAAAAAACTCATGAAACTGGTTAAGTATGAGGGAATGTTAACTGCAGAAAAATTAATATTTTGGCGAACCTGAGACTTCAGAAGACAGCCGCCTCTCTTTTCAATCTTTAAGAGGCTAATATTAGAAAATATTTAAAACAATCTACCTCTATGTTCAATAAAGTTAGGAAAGAAGCCTTCAATCAATGTTTAGTATGATAGCTTTTTCATAGTAAATGTTGACATGCTGACAGTAATTTTAAAACCAAAATGAGTTAAAACGTTTTGTCGCAGTTTAAGAATCCGTGTGCTTTATCATTCTACATTACGATGATAGTATAAGGAGAGAAATATTAGAAAAAAGTCTCTAACACAGCTACGTAATGTATCACATAAATGTGTATTACAATTTTTACTAAACGATATGAATACCACAACAACAGTGTAAGAATGCTAGGTACAGAAAGTTCGGAAATGTAACTCAAGAGTTGACTCTAGAAATGCACACCCAATAACCAAATTTCTCAAAATAAGATTATGAGAACTTTTCTGCGATGGGAGTAGCAGAGTGTACAAAACTTAATATTATGCCTGCGATCATCAAAAAAAAAAAAAAAAATTCTAATATATTATTTTTGCGCTTTATTGTATAATAAGTTTGTGATTAATTATGGATTCCTCTTCTGCGTGTCTTTGAGAAGGTAACAAGATAACACGTTAAATTAGCAACTAGAAGATCCGTTATTCTGTTCTCGTCATGGGGCATATTAAATATTTCATATCTGTTACTCCCTCCCACACTTCAAGAAAGAAAGAGTTTTTAATCTGGCTTCCCAACTAAAATTTGGTGGAAAGGTGTAACATTTGTTTCTCAATCAATGAAAATATAACAATGAATTTATTGAATACTCTAATTGTACAGTCC